CTCCGGCAGGCATTCTATGTGGCTGACCAGTTTTTGGAACGAAAAGTTTTGTTTTCCCCCACAATTTACACCGAAAACGTAAAAATCTCGATTTCGACAGAATTTCAGCCCCACAAAATACCCGTGCTTCCAGAATGGAGACCCAGCATGGAAGCTGTGGTCTCGCTGGTTGAGCTTCGGCAGGCCTTCTATGTGGCTGACCAGCTTTTGGAACGAAAAGTTTTGTTTTCCCCCACAATTTCCACCGAAAACGGTAAAAATCTCGATTTCGACAGAATTTCAGCCACAGAAAATACCCGTGCTCCCAGAATGGAGACCCAGCATGGAAGCTGTGGTCTCGCTGGTTGAGCTCCGGCAGGCATTCTATGTGGCTGACCAGTTTTTGGAACGAAAAGTTTTGTTTTCCCCCACAATTTACACCGAAAACGTAAAAATCTCGATTTCGACAGAATTTCAGCCCCACAAAATACCCGTGCTCCCAGAATGGAGACCCAGCATGGAAGCTGTGGTCTCGCTGGTTGAGCTTCGGTAGGCCTCCTATGTGGCTGACCAGCTTTTGGAACGAAAAGTTTTGTTTTCCCCCACAATTTCCACCGAAAACGTAAAAATCTCGATTTCGACAGAATTTCAGCCCCAGAAAATACCTCTGCTCACGGAATGAAGATCCAGCATGAAAGCTGTGGTCTCGCTGGTTGAGCTTCTGCAGGCATTCTAAGTGGCTGACCAGTTTTTGGAACGAAAAATTTTGTTTTCCCCACAATCTTCATGCAAAACAGTGAAAACCTCGATTTTCACGGAATTTACGCCACATTGACCACGGCCTCCAACCACCTCAGCTTTTGTCAGACGGGACTTTTGCCTTATTGTTTGGTTTTCAACAGCCAGTCATTTTTGCTTTGGAGTCCTTTATTTTGCCCTTGCTTCCGAGGAGAAGACCCGGCATGCATCTGCATTGGTCAGCCTTTTAGGGAATGTTGATTATGTTGATTTTAACTAAGCAACGAAAGAAGCAAGCTGTATTAAATAACTAAACTCTGGTGGTGGCATTTGGAAGGAAAGATCTGATATTTTTTGTGTCTACCTGCAAAGTTTGATTTGTTATTTACTTAGCTTCTCTAGAGAGGAGATGTGAACACTGTTTATGATTAGATGCAGTCCCAACTAAGCAAAACTAATGTATCTGCCCCGACCCACTTACAGCGGCCCGTAGGGCCGCTATATAAAGCTGGATGTCTGCTTGTCTGTCTGTATGTCTGTATGTCTGTATGTCTGTCTGTCTGTATGTCTGTCTGTCTGTATGTCTGTATGTGTGTACGTATGTTCCAGTGGCGGACCGAGGGAGGGGGGGCCGGGGGGGGGGGGCGCCCCCCCCTGAGAACGGGTCGCGAAATTTTTGAAACTTACCTATATGGGTTGTAAAAATGTGCAAACGACTTGTTTGCACTTGAAAATAATTAAAATAATTTTTAAAATTTTTTAAAAATTCATTTTAGCCTTATAAAAATTTTTTTTCGGGGGCGTGGCTCACGCCACGCCCCCTTTTTTCAGACTTTAGGGGTCGGGGACCCACAAAAATTTTGAGAAGCACCCCAAAATATTTTTCGAAGTGCGTGGCTAACGCCACGCACCTTCTTTAAAAAAATTTTTGTCGCCCCCCCCAAAAAAATTTCTCGGACCGCCACTGGTATGTTTTGAATAAAAAATTCAATTTCTGAACCGATCTGGACCAGACTTGGCACACATACACTTCGGGCACCGGCGGGTGTCATAAGCTACTTTTCGTCATCGATCGATATCGATTTTATCGATTTTTTCGATTTTTGGGCAGAGTTCACCTACGGGGCTGGGAGTTGGCACAGAGGGGTAAGTGAGCATGGGGATTCCGAATACAATATTAGTTTTTAGGAATACCAATTACTTTTATCGATTTATCGTTTTTTTGTAAAGTTTAACCTGCGGGGCTGGGAGTTTGCACTGGGGGTAGTCGAGCATGGGGATTCCGAATACAATATTAGTTTCAAGGATTATAGATTACTCTTATCGATTTTATCGATTTTTTGTAATGTTTGACCTGCGGGGCTGGGAGTTTGCACAGGGGGTAGTCGAGCATGGGGATTCCGAACACAATATTAGTTTTCAGGAATACCGATTACTTTTATCGATTTTATCGTTTTTTTGTAAAGTTTGACCTGCGGAGCTGGGGGTTTGCACAGCGGAGGGTGGGGGGTAATCGAGCATGGGGATTCCGAATACAACATTAGTTTTCAAAATTGTCCATTACTTTCATCGATTTTATCGATGTTTTTGCAAAGTTTGACCTGCGGAGCTGGGGGTTTGCACAGCGGAGGGTGGGGGGTAATCGAGCATGCTGATCACCCCTGTGGGGGTGATCAGCATGCTCGATTACACCCCTCTGCCAAATTCCAGCTCCCTAGCTCAAATTTTGCAAAAAATCGATAAAATCGATAAAAGTAATGCACGGTTTCGAAAACTATTAGGTTGGAAACTAAGTTTTGCAACTGGTCTCATAACTTCCCTCTCACTCAACATGGCGCACTCAAATTTTGCCACTGGGTTGGTTATTACGTAAGCTACAAGCGCAGCTGCTGTCCTACCAAATTCTGACGTCGCAGTGAGGGTTACGGTAGGTGCATGGTATGAAGGGGAAAAATTCAAAGTTTGACGGATTTGGCTAAAACTTGGCATAGGGGTGATATCCGACATGATGATCACGAAAACGATAGTGAAATTGCGTGATAATGGCTTTTTTGTAGGATTACTGTAGGTGTATGATATGGGGTCTCACCCTAAACAGGGAAAATGGCGTTGATTCAACAAATGAATGTAATATTCGCGTTTGGCAGGTCAAATAACCTTACTATGCAAAGTCTCGGCGGAATTTGAGCTTTAGACTCTTTAGTCATTGACGGTCGTCCCCAGCAGCTCTTGCGTACATCGGCTCGTTCGTCTTTATGAGGACGCCAAATCTCGACATGCCCCTAAATTTTGTTTCTTTTTTACTAGGCCAAAGGAGTCAACCTTCAGCAATAATTTATAGACGAATACGAATTACTGCGCATGGTCTAGGCTGCCAAACGCTTCATTTTAGCTTGAAACCCCAAAATTTCTCAAATTTCACTAGTTTTCGAAAAACGCCTGAAACTTTTTTATTTCGTGTTCAAAATTTAGACAATTTGCGCTAACCTGTAGCTCACATTGCCTTCTACATAATGCCAAAATCTGAGTGCGCCATATCCAAAGAGAGTGAAGTTATAAAACCAGTTGCAAAACTTAGTTTCCAGCCTAATAATATTGTATTCGTAATCAGCATGCTCGATTACACCCCTCTGCCAACTCCCAGCCCCGTAGCTCAAATTTTGCAAAAAATCGATAAAATCGACATCGATCGATAACGAAAAGTGGACTGTGACACCCGCCGGGGCCCGAAGGGTATGTGTGCCTAGTTTGGCCCGGATCGGTTAAGAAATGGAATTTTCTATTCGAAACATACGGCGGAGCCGGGTAAGCCAGCTAGTTAGTTTCTAAAATTATCGGTTATTTTATCGATTTTATCGATTTTTCCTGCAGTGTTTGAGCTACGGGTTGGGGGTTGGTGATTAAGGTAGGTGAGCACACTGATTACTAATACCGGGAGTAGGGAATTGCACTAGAAAGTGGGCACAGGTAAAGGTGTACAGGGGTAGAAATGGGACCTTCATAGTTTTTGACAGGGCCGGGCGGAGCCGGGTAAGCCAGCTAGTTTGCAATAATTCACTGTTTTCCTTGCCCGAATAAATTTAGCTAGCGCAAGACCAGGAAGTCCTGTTGAACAGTAGGCTTGTGATCTTCATGACGCCATGCTTATATCAGAAGGAGACCGATTGTAGAAAGCAAAAGACGGCTGCAAACTTCGTGATGCACAATTTGCGGCCACTCCAAAAATGTAAAAGAGTTTGCAGACGCTGGTCAAACGAGTTTTTGGGACCAGAAGGCTGCATATTGGCAAAATGGATCGAATCTGTCAAAAGGCAGCAAGCCGACAAAAAATCGTATGTTTTAAAAAATGAACAAAGTGGCCTAAAAGAATGTGCCAAACGTCTAAACCTTTTTAACACAGTACGAAGAGTTTTCGTGCCCATTTGAACAATATGCTGTAAAGCTGGCTTAATTCAGATTGACAGCATGAAGCGAAACAACCGTCGCTCTTCATCACACTAGCTAAAGGTTTAGGGAGAGTTTTGAGCTATAAAAGCCGTTGTTTTGCTTCAGAAAGCAAACCAAGTAGCCCGGAAACCCTTACACTAAGCTAACCAAGGCCGATGAATTTAAATATAAGGTTTGTGTTTTACCGTAATGCTTTTTTCATAAGTTATACAAATTATACCGTGCCTCCTGTTTTCTCAATGGTCCACAGTAATGCAATTACACCATTTTCCTGCTTTGCTAAATCCAGCGGTCCTGTGGTATGGTGATCACCGTAATCATTATTTCGTCTGCTATACACGCGGAAGCTCCCCGGTTCTGGAACTTTTCTAAAACGACGGCTTATGCACAATGGCGCTGTGTGACGGAAGTTTCTACTCATCTCGCAGCGGTGAAGGCAGTCAGCTAATTTGTTTCACACTGTACCGGATACTTTAAAATGAAAAACTGCGCATGTGGACATTTATTCTTTCTTCAACGCAAAACAATCCCTTGACCGGCACGTTATGCATTACGCCTCATTTGTGATTGAACTTGCTAGCAAATAAACGACACGAATGACTGATAAGGTCGGCTTCACGTCAGTTTTCAAAGAAGTAGCAAACAACGGGTGAAACTAGAAGGCACGGATTCTTCCAGATTGGGATCAGCAGCTTGAGCCGGCTTTTCTTAAGTAGTCGTCTGATTTTCATTTGAATTAAGTTGCTGCCGACTTATGTAGTCGGTAAAGACTTCCAAGGTATGGACAAGTTTCTCAAAAAACCTCCTTTGATCCTGAAAAGTGCGCCTGATAACCGTCAGTTGTAGTAGATGTCACATACTCTGCACAATCGAAATTGTTCTTGAAGAATGTCCCTTTCTGTGACGCGTGTATTCCGCGGCCTGCGTTCGTCCTCGCTATCCGACTCGAAGTCCTCCTAGATAGAAAGGAATTGGCATCGGAATGGAAGAGCTTTGCACCCACCATGTTTGGCTCCAAAAACAAGGTAACGTCGTCTCCAACCTCTTCAAGACGGGGTACTTTTTTCTGCAATACATACTTTTTCAATTTGTAAAAAGCTTCGATACAGCAAACCTTTCCGACTGAACTCTCTCCTTCTCTGAAAGGGAGAGTCATTGAGGTTTTGTCGAAGAACTCCCATAGCGCCTGCTCACTAGGGCTGTCGAATGGGCATTGATTGTTCGTTATTTCAAAAACATCCTCCTCATGCATTGATCGTCCTCCCCCTCTTTGTACGATACGTTTGTCGTAGGACTTAAGAGCACCAAAAAACATGAGGAACTTACCTTTTTTCCGCACTAGTCGCTTTCCTGAGAGACATGCCTTCTGCAATCACTTTTGACCTAATATGGTCAAAGTGATTACGTAGCTTTTTTCAGTGGCTTCAAAGGCGAATTCGTCTCGTAATTATTTATAAGATTCTTGTAAGCGGCACTCCTCCTTCCGTTCTAAGAGAGGTCTGACGTTCGTATCGTTAAGAAGAACGTCGTTATTTCGTATGTACTAGTCTACTATATATTCGGATATGGAATGCGGGATCTTTGCAGGACTGAACATTTTTTATTGTATTCATTTGAATTCAATATTGTTTGACTAGCACTTTCATTCCACAAAAGTATAACCAACCTTTAAGCGGCGCTGGGGTGTTCGCATTCATTTTCCACATTTTTCACAAGTTTTTGTTCCTATAAAAGAGATATCACAAATTAGCATTTGCGTCCGATCATTATTTGAGCACGAACAATTCACCAACATTCATTTCCCTCCCCCCTCCCCCCCCCCCTTCCTCCACCCCTTCCACTGAACTGTATCACAGAAAGTACAGTGTTGATTCGAATGACTAAAACTTTTGTAAATCCCAACATGAAGTAAATACTAATGTGAACAAACAGAAAAGGTGTAGGAATAAGTAAAAAAACTATTGTGAATCCTATGCGGTCGACAACTGGTGGAAAACAAAATATATCCAGGTAGCCTATGTGCACAGAACACCTACACACTTGTGATCTCCAATGACATTGCATTGTCCATTGAAATGGCGCCCTCGCCTCTATCAAAACCGTTATTGCTCAGTTCATATTTTCCGGGAGTGAAAGAGTTCTTGCGCGATGGTCCAGCTACCGCTTTATACATCACGGCATCGTCTGTAACAGTTCTACTGTACGCGAAAATGAAGCACGGAAAGGATAGAGTAACACTGACGGAATAAATGGCACTACAGCCTATTTCTTCTATTCGTGGATCGAGGTCCTGTACAAGACTTGGACTTCAAAAACAGCGCAGATGTAGAAAACGTGACATGATGAACGCATGTTAGCATAACTGATACACGCAACTAAATTTGCATCGAGTTGAAAGCTGCCTACATGCATATTGCACCTATCTCACCTCGATATGCAGCATTTGTGCAACAATTGAAATGATTTTGAGAGCACCACTAGCCGGTGCACAAGGTTGTACACCGCCTAATAGTGTGAGACCAGATCTGAAAAAGCAGAACATCAAAAGATGTTTGCGTGATATAAGCAAGCGGAAACGTAGACGTATTGTAGACCTTACACATCGCTTTTGTGAAGGGGAATGCATGTAAAAATACCAATAGGAAGGGAATTTTGTAGATATAGCTGCGTTTTGTTTCACAAGAACGACAACAATGCGAAGCGGTACGTAACGTAAGGGTGGGTAAAGGAAGAAATTGGAAGGAGTTGCAAGCAGTGCGAGATTTTCTAGGAGGTAACGACAAAGAATGCAATTGTGCGTCGCACTTATTCTGCAATTTCGTGGTCCCGTAATTACTCAGGAGCAGCTTACGGGATTTGTGTCTGCGTCTTGCAGACAATCTCCGTAAGCCAGGTCGATGGCTAAGCTTACCTTAGGGCAGGCAGCGCAGCTCATTGCGGCAGCTGACCGGCCGCTTGGGTCTCAGCCCAGCGTCTATTTTTAATGCACTGTAGCAAGGGGGATAGTCAGATTAACTTCGAATCTCTTCTTAGGGGGTCAGCGCAGATCATCTGAGCTAAGAGGGGGTTTACTACGGGCCTATAATAGTTATTACTCACTCTTTCCACCCAAGCAAAGTGCAGCACGCGTCTCCTCAAAAGTTGTTCAAAAAAATTCCAAAAAAAACAAGTTTGGTTGCTTGCTAAAAAATTGTAATTGGTAAAAACACACAGTTAACACGAAGCTTGCTCATTAAAAGCGCAGGCAACAGATCCTTAGTTCCAACTGCTTCTATCACTGCAATGTGTGCGATTAAGAAGGGCAATTCTGTAAGAGTATGATAGCGACGTGCAAGCAAATTTGGCAGCAAGCAATTACTCGAAAAATTATGAAGTTATGAATTTTTCGAATTGGCGTGACAAACTTCGATTCAATCCAATTATGATGTTCAAGCTGTAGCGTATTGGTAAATTTGATTGGAGGAATTCTGCTCCCAGCATCACTTTGAAAATTGTCGAATCCGTAGGCATGCGTGAAAAACGAATGTGTCGCGATCCTATAAGTTGGGTTTCCTTAGGTGATATTAATAGACAGTTTGCTGCACTTTGTCAATTTTCAATAAAACCATATCTTCCCACATGTTTTGACAAGAAATTGTGCATCGCAAAAGATTGGAAGTTGCAATTAAGAGCAAAATGATGATTTTTGATGTTTTCAATTCCATGTCACACTATTCAATTAAATCTTCAATAAGGGTTTAATCCGAAGACCTAACTTTGTACTAATCGGAATCGGAATCGGAATCTAATCGCGTATCCAGCTAAGTGAGTCTGCAAGAAGAGTACTTGATCTGCTTCGATATTGCATGAAAGAGCTGCAAAACACAATAACAAACATGATGAGAATAAACTTCAAATTACTCTTTGCCACGCTTTGTGGGGGATTTCACGTCCCGTAGCTAAGGTGGATGCCAATCGACGAAAACGCTACCAAATCAAACTGAGGGAGGTGTAAGAGCATTGCGCGATTGTAAGAGTACAGGGTGGGGCAAAAGTCTGGGAGCCTATTTTGTAGTGCTGTAAATCAAGAAACTACTGATGATTTTGACTCCAAATTTGTGTCTCATATTGCTGCGATCATCTTCTACAAATCGCACTTTGGCTGGCTGAAAATGCTTGCCGTATGTTTTTGTAGGAGTTGGATTTATCAAACGAGTGCTCTGCAATGCTAGAAAATCGAAATTTTTGGTCTTCACAACTTACTTTGTAGCTAAAGATACAGTGTATATTCTAAAGAGCTTCGATGCATACAATGTAGAGGAGATCTTGCGCTATCGATTCGTTGTCATTGCGTTTCTCAGATACTATTCTTTCGAAAACGCAAAATAAAAATTTGCGAATACTACCTGCGTGCCAGTGGCCTTTTTTCTTCAAAATAAATTTGAAAGCTATAGTAGCACAGCAGACAGTAAATTCTAGGCTATACTCTTTTCTTGGATCTTCTATGCAAGCATGTACTTGAGTTCGATCGATCAAGCAATTTCAACACTTTTCAGATTACGATTTTTCGCTCTCGTTCGCGCAATCGCATCCAGATTTCCAGTGTACATTGTACTCTTGCCTTCAATTAAAATTCCAAAATTTTTTTCCTGAAACTGCAAAAAAAAATTTCTTCGCAGTACGTTGTAGCTAAAAGCTTGCTCTATCATACCGCACATTTGCACGGAAAAAGAAACAGTTACCGTAAAAGCGTGGGACGAAATTCATCACGACTGTCTGCGTGCCACGACAGGCGGTCTCGCCAAGATTTTGAAGGGCTGCTTTGAAGCCAGAAGAAGCAATCTCAAAATTTGAGAGCAGCGCTGTATTTGTAAGGGTTCAATTTATGTGTGCACCGAATTTTTTGTTCCTAGGCAAATTCTTTCTGATTTTATATGAAAAAGTACTAGGCTCCCAGACTTTTGCCCCACCCTGTACTGCCAAAAGCAACGTCACAATGAGTCGACTCAAATAGTTGGTTACTATAATCATGAGAGCTGTCTGTGAACTAAAAAAATGGAGTGGCTGGAGCTCGACTTAACACAAATGCCAGCCTGGTTAGTCAGTTTATTCCTTCTTGCGTTTACGGTTGTGTCCTGCTACCGTCTCAAATCAAAACTCTTGCCGCATGCATTGAAATCTTCGGCGACGAAGGGGTCGCAGCGCTTAACAAAAAGCTTCATATCTGAAGCTCCGAACTTCTGGATTTCACGCTGTCTACCTATCCGTAAATTTCCTAACACCTTTTCGGTGAGATTGCCGAGCTTGACCAAGGTTAGTAAGTGCCTACAACAATGCCAAGATTCAAGGAAAGCCGAACCTTCACCATTCCTAACACCCTTCACTATGAACGTATTGAACAAAGGCGAGAAGCTGTGCAAGACCATTTTCCAGTTTTTTATATGATCCCCTGATAATCCTAGACAGCTGACCATAATTTCTTCGAAATCATTTTTCTTTCTTTTAGAACTAACAAAAAGCTTCCAAAGTTGTACAAAATACCAACCCAACGGTGCTAAGCATGTTGCTGGTAAGAACACATATTTTTTGGAGTCATAAAATTTGAGATGAACCACATGTCGAAAATTGGGGTTTAACCAAAAAATCGATTTTCTAAAAACTCATTTGTTTCAATTAGCAGCATGATTAGCATTGTTGTGTTAAATAATCAGTACAAGTTCGAAAGGTTTTCGTCAACTTCGAAGAAAGAAAAATGAGCTTGAAGAAAAAACGGCCGGCCGCCGAGAATTATCAGAGGTCGTACAACAGCTGGAAAATGCGGTTTGTACAGCATCTTACTCACGTCCAATATGTTTATAGTGAAGGGTAGTAGGAATACTTACGGATAGAAGACAGCGTAAAATTTAAAAACCTGGAACTTTACAATATGATTTTCTTTTGAGCTGCAATCCCCTCTTAAGCGGGATGTTAGTGCATGCGGCCCTTATACTTATGCTAATCCCAGAAAATGTTGATGAAACTTGGAAAAGTATACATCATTTTAGCTCTTACTTTACATGATTTAGATCATCCTCATCCGTTTTGAAATTGCAAACTTTGCGAGCGATAATTAAGTGGAGGAGGTTATGTGATTGAGAGAGCTCTTACTTTGATACTACTATGATTGGAACAGTATAACCAGATATCAATCTGGCTCAGGCTCTTATTCATACTCGCCAAATTACAAATTATCTTAGTCAAGGTCTTATAAATTTTGTCTCAAATTTGATGTGTTTTGACAGATTTGTCACGAGCGAATATGTAACACAATAATCTTATGAAAACATTTTTTCTTTT